TTAGCTCACTACACTAGCAGTCTGAAACATGGTCTGAATTGTTTTCCGTTGGTGTCTTACTTCCAGTTCCTGTCCCCTTTTTAAGAACTCTTTCCAGTCTTCATACTAAAACCAAGTGCACTTCCCCTCTTTAAAGGGAAAAAAAAACCTGGTCTGCAAGAAACAGGAAGTTAGGTATCTAGATGAGGATGTCTGGGTAGTCCTGCATTAAGCAGTCACAGCCCTTCATCCTAAAAAGTTCTCTAGAGGTCAGTAACACAGCAGGCATCTTTTGAGATGTCTGTTCAACTCAAGAATGGACACAGTCATGATTTTTATTCTTCCATTACCTTTCCCACTACCACCTATCTTCTTGGATCAACAGTAGGCACCTCACCCAAGATGGGCCCATGAGGCGCTCTAGCTCCCAGAAATTTGGGTGTAACAATGATAGCAAACAGGTGTACTCATAGCCAGCGACAAAGCAGCACAATAAATGATGTCTCACCTCTGCTCAAAACTGTCCCACAGTTCTCTATCTAATAGAAAAGTCAATGAAAGCCCTAAAACTCACAGCCCCTCCAACTCCTCCATGTCCCCATGATCTCTACACTGACATACCTATCATACTCCCCTTCCTCCAACTCATTCCAAACCATGCAGCTACAGTGCTGTGCTGCTAGTCCACTGAACACTCCAGGCATGCTCCAATCCTGAGACCTCTGCTAGATTGCTCTCCCCAGCACTGCAGGGGTAATTCCTCCTGACCTTCTCCTCAGGGTCAAATTTAAAACTGTATCTTTGCCCTTGTGTGCAGCCACTCCTTATTACTGTCTAATTTGCTGTTTTCAAAAGCATTTGTAATCTTCTAATTATACTATACAATTTATCAGGTTCGTTTTCTGTCTTCCCTTCTTCCCCTTCCAAGCTAATAACCACAATATAAGCACTATGGATGAATTTTCTCTACTTTGTTTCCTCCCTAGCCCAAACACAAGTACTTACCAAATAAATTCAGGTATGCTTGGCCACAATATATACCAGAGCTGTGAAAGTTGACCTCTCACAGCAGATACTATGTCTGGAAACAGAGATGGAAAACCATGTGGTTCTAGAAAGATAACCAACTCTCTCAAAATCTAACATCTGCCCATTCTTTTAACTGATTTTTTCTGAGCTTAAATTACTTCAACTTTTTGCCATAGTGGATAAAGAACAACTGCAGTACGTTTCAAATGAGTATTTTCTGTAATGCATAAAGTACAATTACTTTGATAGCCAATAAAAAAAACTACTGGTAAGATTTTTATATTATAGTCTAGTATATTATACTATATTATAGTAGTCTAAGCAGTAATTTAGAAAAGTAAAAAAAGCAAAACAGCTGTACGTAACACTGGGCTGAACTGTAAGCATTCTACTATAGCAAAATGTTTAACAATATCTTGTTTTTTTTTTTTTTTTTTTTTTGTCTTTTTCCTTTTTATCGGTACCAGGGATCGAACTCACGACTGCCTGCTTACAAGGCAGGCGCTTATGCCACTGAGCTAAATCCCCAGCCCCTGTTTAACAATATCTTTATGATAGCCCCATATATCAACACTTGCTTGCAATACATATTCTACCACAGCAGTGCTTAAGCTAGGTATGGTGGCACATGCCCATAATTCCAGCACTCTGAGAGGCTGAGGCAGGATTGCAAGTGTAAACTGAAGCCACCCTGGGCAATTCAGCCACTGAAACCCTGTTTCAAACTGAAATAAAAACAGGGGGTGTAGGCAAGCTGGGGATGCAGTTTAATGTATTTAAAAAAAAAAAAAAAAAGCTCTCAGTTCAATCCCAACATTGAAGGGGAGAAAAAAGTATTGTCTTTAAGAATTTGTTTTTCCTTAAAGTAAAAAATCTGTTTGTGCTATAGGATCAGATATCTACTCCATAAAATAAGGAGGCTGTACGTGTAAGATCTCTAGCTCTGAAATTTATTTGATGATAAACAGCAGTATATACATAACACATATACAAACTACATATACATAAGAGTCATTGTCATTATAGACTATAAACTTGATCTTTTAAAAATATAATTTGTTACACACCTCAAAAGCCGTTTTTTAACTAACATTTACTATAAAGGGAGAAAAAATAAAATTGAGTACTGCTTATTGCAAATACAAAACATTTTTGAGCATTACAGTACACATGGTACCATGTATAGAAAGAAAGCTAATTTTATCAAGAATTGTACTCTATTTTCACAGTGTATATTTTAGTAACATTCTCAATCTCTTTGCTTAGAATATTAAAATATTTTTAAACCATAAAAGTAAACTATCTTATCCATTTTTCAAGAGTAAGTTTTAACATATTTTTTAAAATTTAATTTTCTTTATATTTGGCCACAGTATTTTCCAATCCTAAAAAGTATTTTCCTTTGTATAAGATAAAAACTCAAATTGTGTTGTTTTAATAATCAACAATACTTGACTCACCAAACAGAAATTTTCTATAGGTTTTTGGTATCTTCATTTTGTAACTTTTATCATGAAATTCTTTCTAATCATACCTTTTCTTCCAGTGTTATTTGAAGTTAAATTTAAACTGTGAAAATTTCAAGACTTCCAATTTGCAAAAAGACATGAGAAGTGTTAAAATTAACTTTCATCTCATAACAGTTTCTTCAAATATAAAATACGGTTTTTTACCTTACATTGATTGATAAGATGGTTGGTATACACTTTTAAATATCTAAGTCCAAGAATTTGACAGAAACAGATTGGAATCTTGTCGTTGCTATTACTACCTGTGTGATCCTGGGCATGTTACAGAATCATACGAATCCTTTAGTTCCCTCACCTGTAAAATGAAGACACTGCCTTCTAAAGCTGTTTGTGGAATTAAATGAGCTGTACAAAGTGTTCAGTTAATGACGTATCAGACATTGACTCCTCAGTAAATAGTAGTTACTTTATAAACAGGGACCAGCATTCAAGTCAGTAAGGATATCATTTATACGTTACCCAATTAAAAGTTTTACAAGGGGGGCCTGGGGATTTGGCTCAGTGGCATAAGCGCCTGCCTTGCAAGCAGGCAGTCGTGAGTTCGATCCCCGGTACCGATAAAAAGGAAAAAGACAAAAAAAAAAAAAAAAAAAAAAAAAAAAAAGAGTTTTACAAGGGCAAAGATATCTTTTGAGTACTAGAAACATTTATTTTCCCATCACATAGTTTCCACTCAGTGACATTACTAACCACATCAATTCCTGAATTAACCGATGACTACTGGCATGTCATAAATATAAGTACTAGGTGCCCAGGTCAAAAGAATGGAGATTTTGGGGCTGGGGGTTTAGCTCAGCGGCATAAGCACCTGCCTTGCAAGCAGGCGGTCGTGAGTTCGATCCCCGGTACCGATAAAAATGAAAAAGACAAAAAAAAAAAAAAAAAAAAGAATGGAGATTTTAACATAATATGGCAGTACACATCAAATGACAAATAAATACATGTGTGTCTCACCAAATTTAGTCAGTAAAACCTGAACCCAGCCTGGCAGGGTGGCACACGCCTGTAAACCCCACACTCTGGGAGCCTGAGGCAAAATTTCCAGCCCAGGAGGCCCTGTTACAAAATAAAAACAAAAGCCTTGAGTTCAATTATCAATGGGGCAGAACAAAAACCTGGAATCCAAAACAACTTGAAGCCTCGGCAACTTTTCCTGCGGGTCCCCTGTCAGAAAGACTGTGACTCCTCTTCCGCAGTTTCATGGCTCTGTGTTCCACAGGAGTCTCAGGTGACCATTAGCTTTGCCGGGGGCTTTTAATCAACAGGACGACGGCTTAATGAAAGGGAAGCTATCTGCAACCTGAATGCGGTGCATGGGTTCAGATCGGTCTCTCCTGCCTGTGTTAACCTTGGACAGGCCATTAAAAACTAAGCCTGCATTTCCACGTCTGTAAGAAGAAATACTACCTACCTACTCGGTGAGGCTGTTGGGAGGATCCCCACATGAAGGTGGGGAGCATGTTTCGTAAATCACCAAGCACCTCTCTCTACATCTGAAACTACTGGCATGGAGGAAAGACCTTTAAAATGATAAATTAACTTCCACCAAGATATGACATGGATCGCACCAGACATTTTATCACTCATGAGGGGACTACGCGACGGCGCTATGTGACCCATTTTCACATAAATAGTCAAAGTCTCAATCCGTAAGACTAAAAGACTTTTAGCCCTACAAAAAAACGCCTAAAGTGTAAAAAGTGCCAAAGCACCGATAATCCTACAGAACCGCCAAATTATCCTACGACCTAAAAACACAAAACTGCTTTTAAAATAACCCGCACCTTCCGAGGGGAGGAAGGCAGACGCAGTGCCATCCTGACAAGGTGCTGGTGCTCGTTCTCTCGCATATTCAGTTTCCAGAGGGCAATGACCAAACGCAAAACACAATCACCCAGCAGAGCCTGCTCGCGGGCGTCAGCGATCGACAAGACACTTAACTAACCCCAGAACAAAAGCGATCCGCAGGGCCCGCATCCTAACGCCCAGTTCTCGGGCGCAGGCGATCGGAGGAAAAGGCCTTGCGCAGGGGTCACGGCGGTGCACTCGGCTGTCACCCGGCGGGGTCTTTCTCCGCCAAGTTTCAAAGTCCACAAAGAAGTTTGGTCGCGAGCGGGCGAGGGCCGGCCGGGCCCCGGGCCGCCGGACAAAAAGAGCGGCGCGCCGGTGGGGGAGGGGAGGCGGCGCCGGGCCCGCGCTGCGGCCTCGGCGACCCCGGGCCCGGGCGTCGCGCGCCTCGCGGCGGGGAGGTCGCGCCGGGTCACCGCTGCCCGCCGCCCTGCCGCCCCCGCCCGGCCCGGGTCCCCGCCCCCTCGCCGGCGGGCAGCACCGAGGGTCACCTTCTCTCCCAGCGACCAGCGCGGCACACGGCCCCCGCCCCGCCGCGCGCTCCCTCGGCGCTGGAGGCCGACGCGGCCCGGCCGGTTGGCGAGGCCCGGCGCCGCCGCCGCCGCCGCCGCTCACCTTCCTCCGCGGTGTCCATCTTGTCTGGGGGCCGCGGTGACGCAGCCGCGAGGCTCCTGCGCCCAGGCCAGAGCCTTCCGGCCCGGCGGGCAGAGGAGGGCGGGCAGGAGGCCGGAGGGAGAGGAGCCGGCCGGGCAGGTGCGGGCGCTCAGGTGCGAGCGGAGGCAGGGGCGAGGGAGAGGGAAAGGGAGCGGGAGAGGCTGACAGAGAGCGAGCGCGGAGGGGGAGGGGCGGGGCCGAGCGGCGCGGCCGGGGCGGGGCGCGGCCCGGAAGGGGCGGGACGTCCTGACGTGCGTCACTTCCGGAGGTCGTGGCGTGCGCCGGGGCGCCCGGGACAAGATTGCTCTGCGCGCGTCCCGTGGGCTGCGCGGGGTGATGAAGCTGTGAAGTGGGAGGGTGCAGGCTTTGGGGGCAGCATCTTACGGGGAGACAAAGCGGGAGCGGAGGCCAGGGGCATGAGCGAGCGCGGAGCGGGGAACCCGGAGCGCGCCCTGCTTGCCGCGGGACAAGAGCTTAACAATGGCGAACTCCAGTTGTGTCGCCCCTCGGCAACATAGAGGACCGGGAAGAGCGTGTTCCTGCCATCCTGGGGTCGTGCTGAGGCGCCTGTTGAGAAAGTGGGAAAAAAATTGAAATGTGTGGAAAGACAAACAGATGTCACCATAGCGCTTCCCGTGCAGCTTATGCAATTGGTCGGAAACACCACTTCATAAAACCACAGAGGCTGGAAGCTGAAGCGTAACCGGCCTCTGAGGGACACTGTTTGGGAGCGACGGTTGCGGAGGCCTGGGCGGAGCTGATGAAAGAATGATGAAAGGTGCCTGCACCTGTAGGTCCCTAGAGTCACTGTAGTCCGTGGCATTTCCTCTAAATGAAGAAATAGTTTAGAAGATAAAGCCAGGCGCGTTGCATACGTCTGTAGTCTGTAGTCCCAGCACTCGGGAGGCGAAGCAAGAGAATCCCAGTTGGAGGCAAGCCTGGACTGTGTAGTGCGACTCTGTCTCAGCACACACCCAAAATACAAATTAAAAAATACAAAAATACGTTTAGGGGCCGGGGATATAGTTCAGCGGCATGGTTCCTTCCTGGCACGTGAGAGGTCCTGAGTTCCATTTCTGGTTCTATATATATATATATATATATATATATATATATATATATATATATTGACAAGAAGCAAAGCAGTCTTTTCCAACCCCAATAAGAGATAACAGCAGAAGTAATGTCTTGCAAGAATGCTAACTTTTCACCTTGTGTGAGTGGAGAAACGGGGAAGAGCTTTCCCTACTGAGCAGCTTCCCTAGTGAAAGTCCTTGGGGCTATTTGGGGACCAGTGAGAGACAGGTTGACAATGTAGTTTGGTCCTTCCTCAAGGAAAGTGAGGCTCCATTCAAGGGGTTCAGTGTCTTTAAATGGCTCAAATTTGGGATCTTGAGAGACTTTGATTCTCTTGCTATGATTTGAGGTAGATTTCTACCCATTTTTGTGCTTATATAAATGTACTAAAAATGTAATAGCTTTCCTGTCTGTTTCAAACTTGAGAACACCATAACCAGTGAGCAACACCACAGTATATAAAAAAAAAAAAAAAAAAAAAAAAGTAATTCAAGCTGGCCTTGAACTCACTATGTAGCTGAAGCTGGCCTCAAATTCACATTGATCCTCCTGCCCTGACCTCCCAAGTGCTGGAATTACACACACTTGGAAACACATTTTTTAAGACTTTTTTTTTTCTTTTTTAATCAGTACCAGGGATCGAACTCACGACTACCTGCTTGCAAAGCAGGCACTTATGCTGCTGAGCTAAATCCCCAGCCCCTTTTAAACCTTTTTAATTTAACTATGACATTAAATTCAGAGTTTCAACCAGGCATTGTAATACACACCCATATCCTAGCACTGGGGAGCCTGAGGCAGGAGAATCTCTACAAGTAGAGACCAGCCTAAACTACATAGCTAGAGAGACCCTGTCTGAAAACTTAAAAAAGAGTAAGGCTTAAAATAATGAGATGGAGGGGCTGGGGATTTAGTTCAGCAGCATAAGCGCCTGCCTTGCAAGCAGGCAGTCGTGAGTTCGATCCCTGGTACCGATAAAAACGAAAAAAGACCAAAAAAAAAAAAACTTAAAATAATGAGATGGAGTCCTACAAAAATAGAGCCCTACAAACAGAGCAACTCTTCATTAATGCTATTGGTTTGACTAATATCACTCATGTTACTTAGGACAATTCAAACTCTTCTAGATATAATAATGGAAACCCCTCCAGCACTTGGGAGGCTGAGGCAGGAGGATCATGGTGAGTTCAAGATGAGCCTGGGCTACAAAGCGAGTTCAAAACCAGCCTGAAATGCATAGTGAGACCCTGTCTCAAAAAGACAAAAAAAAAAAAAAAAAAAAAAAAAAAAAAATCACTGCTTTCAAGGGCTGCCCTTGAGATTTAAGTCAATAACACTTCTATCTTCCAGAAAACTAACTTTGAAGGCAACTCTCCCCAGTCACCATCCTTCCATCCACCTCCCTAGAACTCACACTGAAAGGCCTGTGGCAGTCAGCTGGGCCCAGAGACTCAGGTTCAGGACAGTCAGACACACAGCATAAGGGAGGGGATACTGACAGAGAAAGACTGGTTGAAGGCAGGACTGAAAGTACTGCCTGTCACAAGTAGGTGAACCTCCTGGCAGTGGAGAATCTTGGCTGGAGGGATGGTTATAGAGCTAGAAGAGTAAAGGCAGAGAGCCCTTTTGACACAATGTATAAGCTGTAACTCTTCCCTTGTGGTGCTGGAAACCTTTCAGTAAGCAGCTTTGCATTCTGTGCACTAAAATGTTACTACTGGAGTTTTTAAAGTGCAAGCCTCCACTTTCATAGTCTAAACTGACCAAGCTGGGCACCTTATTCCAAAATGCCAATCGAGGAGCAGAGCAGGAAAGGAGCTTTAATGTGTGTGGCCACATCAGGAAGGACAGATAAAAAAGTTGGGGTCTCCATTCAGTGGAGGGACAGAAACAGGTTTTGTGGAACAGGAGAACAAAGGCAAGGGTTAGGTTTTTGCCTAACAGGAAAGCCATCCTGATGAAGCCGTGGGTGGTCAGGCTCTCAGGACTGGCTCTCCTTGCTTCACGATGTCCTTGCGGGGCAATCCAGTTCCCTGAGATGGTGGCTCCTATTCGGGGTGCATGACGTCAAGGGGTAATCGGTGGGGCCTGGATTTTCCTGGATCTGAGGTGACTGCAGGTTCAGGACAATAACCAGGACTTCCAGACACCATCCAGAAAGCCTGGAATAGGGTGTAAAAAGTGGCCATCAAATGTCCCTGTAAATCTGAAAAATGTCTCTGTTACTCTTCTCTTGATGTCCTCAGTCTTGAAGGGACCCACGAGCGTGTATCACCAGTCTTTACACAGACACTTCTGAGGTGTCTGACATCTCTGGACAGAGCTGAGGTATCTGACCCGAAGAATTAAGGTAGTAAAGGGAGACAGATGCAAGAATGAAGGCAGAAACATAAGCTTTATTCTGCTTTGGGTGTCTGCAGGCTCAGCCTCTAGGTCCCTATTATCTGCACTGACGCCCAGACCCTTTTCATTTAGCCTCCAGGTGTGAAACACTAAGAGTAATTAACGTCCATTTAGTCCCTACTCTGTGCTGGGTAGTGGTCTTCACGCAGCCCTTTCCGCAGCCCTATAAGTCAGACCCCCTTGGTTGCTATTGACAGAAACACAAGGAAGGCAAAGGGAGGATGGACCGTATTGTGAATATGAATGAATCGCTAGGAGGATGGGAATCTAGCAGGCATCTCTCTGCCCCGTCTGGCAGCTCAGCTTCTCTGCGTACTGGTCCACTTTGTGCATGGCTGGGAGAAAATCCCCATCACTTTGGAGAGGTTAATGTTAGCTCACGGTTTAGGGATTTCAATGCACAGTCAGCTGGCTCTAAGGCAGACAGACATGGTGGGAGGGTCTGGGTAGAGGAAAGGTTCTCACCTTATAGCACCCAGGAAGCAGAGCAGAGGGACCAAGGAGGATCCAGGAGGGGAGATAAATCCACTCAGGTCCTGCCCACCATGAGCCGACTCCCACCCAGACTCCCCCATACCAAGCCAACTGTAGCACCCTTGTACCCCGTCACCTTCTCAGAGCCCACAGAGGAGGGCATGGGGCTCCTGGAGGACATGTGTGAACCACTGCAGCTGGAGTTACTCTAAGAAGACACCATAAGTATGTTCTTGTAACTGCCAAATCTGCCTATCTGAGCTTCCTGTGCTGTGAGGGTACTACAGGAATGCTGGTTTTCCACTCAGAAAATAAGAGAGCACTGTGCTTAGAAAATGGTTCTTCCCAAGGAGACTGTGGCGCCTTTGGGAGGTGGTAGAGTCTTTCACAGGTCTGTCGTTCTCGCTTTTAAGAAAAGTGTCAAAGCTAGCTGGTTCTGCTCCTGATCAAGATGAGACTATTCTCTGCAAGGTCCTCCCTAGAAACTGAGCTTGTGCAACACTGTGAGCTAATAGCCTCTTTTTCTTTCTTGAGTCAGGTATTTTGCTACAGTAAGGAAAACCTGACTCATCCAGAGTAGAGGTGTGGGAGGATACAATGTGACTTTTGAGCACTAAGTGTAACAATAACAGTAATTAAGCAAAGCCCTTATTATGCCAAATGCATACCAACAGGAAACCTGCGAAGTACCTATACCATGCTGCTGACTACCTGACAGACTGGTAGCCGGCCCCCAGCCCCACATGAAGCAGAGGAGGAAGCAGAATTAGGGACAGGTCCTACCCTACCCTAAGCCTCCCAGTCTTCAGCCTTAGGGGTGCGACTTTCACAGCCTCTTTTTGTGTGTGTGTGTGTCTTTTTCCTTTTTATCGGTACCGGGGATCGAACTCACGACTGCCTGCTTTACAAGGCAGGTGCTTATGCTGCTGAGCTAAATCCCCAGCCCTCTTCACAGCCTCTTATATGCCATTAAAAGCTGGACTTTCTACTGTAAGCTTCAGTTTATATCAGGGTTGTGAGCTTACAGCAATTGGGAAAATATCTTAGTGTAAGTTTAACATTGTTGACATTAACAGAGTATTAAAGGCTACTTAGAGCATTATTTTAATATTAAACCCTTCCTTTCCCATCTTCTCTTATTTCCTCTTCCTCTTTTACCTTCTTGTCCTTCTATCTTCCCTCTCATTTTCCTTTTCTATTTCTTTCCCTGAAATGAGAGCAAACAGTTTTATGGGCAAGATCTTGGGGGTGAA